AATTTGAGAATAATCACGAGCTCGATTTAAATGCGTGGTGATGACTGAGCTCAAGGATTTAAGAAATACTTTTAGTCTTAAGCGAAACCAAACTCTAGTTATCCAGATTTGTTTCTATCCTGAAAACCCCGATACATGCACTGAAGCTATTTTTATATTTGTATAAGCACAATGATGTAAGCCAATGATGATTTACAATATTTCAAAAAAACGAACAAGCAAAGCATACTTCAGAAATTATCCAATGACGGATTTCAAGATTTCACCATGTCTTTGTTTCTAGGGTAATTCTAGGGTTACTGTTTTAAGAAATCTTGTGTCACGTTATAAATTGATGGACACAAGAAAAGAAAGGCTTATTTGATGGTGGTCTTTATCCATATGACCATCTATAAAACTATCGTCCAGCGAAGAAATAATGTCTTGTCTTTGGAAACAACTGAAACCAGATATATGATTGCTGAATTCATCAAGTCACTGCCCCCACCTTTATAAAAAAATGCTCAAAAGTGCAGGTATGAGGTTAAGAGCAGAGGAGAGCAAAACAAAAATGATGACGGAGCTACGTATTTTTGAAGATCCATTAGTATAATTTACGAGTTCATTAGGCGATGAGCAAATATCACAAATGGACGGGGCGACGGAAGCGGTATTTCTCACGCCTTACCGCTCCAACGCTCCGAGATTTGACTTCACCAAAAATGCACATCACTCGAAAATGAAAGAATAACGAATATCTGAATCGTGGCGAAATAATCATGAGCACGAAACGTGTCTTTATTTGTACTATGACTAGATATTATTTCCTGTAAAACGTAAACTGCCCTTTTAAAGGTTTTGCAAGAATCTGTTGCAGAGTTCTTATAATATAGGATGTCTATGTTTCAAGTGGCTCACGGAATGCCAAGCCCGTGTGTCCAAATGTACTGCAAAACATCTTTTGGGCATGTATGAGAATTGTGCAAAGTTCTTGATTAATAATTATTAAGTTAAAATATATTATAAGAAATAGATGGGAATTTAGATGTAGAGCAATTCAACGTTTTAGACAATATATATAGAAAGGACTAACGACTAACCTCTCTGAAGTTTGGAACACTCTTCTGAATCTTGTGAATTATGAGATGTTGCTTGAGAGTCCTTGTCAGGACTCCTCAATCCTCTCTCTCTCTCTCTCTCTCTCTCTCTCTCTCACACATGGTGCACCCGCAAGCCTACTGTATATCTACATCACCATGCATGCCGATACCTACAAGCAGCATCTAAATAAAAACTTTCATTGCATGATTCGATATTTTCTTATATTTTATCCTTGTAGCCTTGAGATGTATGAACAAATGCATCCGATTTGACCTTAGTCAATTCAAAATCTATAATTCTTGTGATATCTCAAACAGTTCGCCTCGGCCGATATGATTTTTAGATGAGCTATCCTAAAATAATTCACAAACGTGTTTTAGATTCAGACTTTGATCAACAACATTTCTAAATAGCGACGTTTATTTCCTTTAAGCCATGAAACTATCATGAATTCTTGCGCTCCACGTGCATGGCCTCGGCGTGATCACGGTCGAGTGCATGACGTATACCAAAGCCTCTCGGGAATATTAATGTTACTACAACCATCTCTCGGGTTCTTCACAATGTAGGTCAATGACAGTCGTAACGTAATTGTGTCTGTCTTTTATCGTTATTTATTGGTGTGTTTCAACTGATATTTGCCTTCTTCCTATGTTCGATCGGGACGGGGACGAAAAAATACAGGGTCGTTTTTTTCATCATGTTTGTGATGTAATTGTGTTTTTTGAAATGTTAGCAGAACGCTGTGAATTTATTGGAACTCAATTACAGATGTCTCCTGAGGACCATATACATGTTTACCTCTTACTTAATCTAGTCATGCATATAAGACATATAACACCAGTCACATAGGGCGATGGTATAATATGCATTCATGAACGCAGACTTTATACTTTAGTCCAGAAATTTCTTTCTTCGCAAACGGTTAAAACTCCTTTTCTTGTACTGCCATAGTCAGATAAAAGATGGTTAAATTTTTTTTGTTTTTTACTAGGCCTACATTATAAACTCCTCATCAATGCGTTTAAAAAACAAGTTTCTCATGTTTTTTTCTTCACTCTTCTATGTTTATCCTTCGACTATTTGTTTTCTTTTTTCTTATTGTTATTGTTATTATTATCATTATAAGTAGTAGCATTAGTAGTAGTAGTAATATCAGTAATATGGAATGTATACTTGACACACAAGCGAGTTGCTAAAGAAGTACATTTCATCCCCAATTTGGAAAATTTGTATGCTCCAAGCCGCCGTCGATAGTGCTTGCAAGGGCGCATCGAACTTTAGCTGAAGTGTGGTTCGTAGAACAAGACACTTCGATAAAAATCCGCGTCTGCTGCCCCGCCTGCGTCTTATTTTTTCGTACCACGGCGAGGCCGGATTCCTGTTTTATCATGAATATTCATTAGGCAGGGTCGGGGAAAGTCTCGATTCTCTTAAATATTCATATCGAGGTGGGAATGCACGACGCGCGCTATACTCGCACAAAGTGAGAAGATTTAGTTCACGGAGAATGCATTATGGGTGAGTAATTGATTGAAATATCAGTAGATTAAGAGAATTTAGTCATTAATTTGAAAAAGCTGTAATTCGTGATCTACTGTAATTTCTTTACATTTTGAGACTGTTCTCAACAGATTTGTGGGGAAAAGGCTAGGAAAACATTTCTCTTGAAATTGCACTTTGATTTTCATCGTCGTGAAGTAGTTTGATTGCGGTTTGCCTTCATGTCACCCTTTAGAGCCCCGGGGTTCCGGCAGGCCCACGTTGGGGAATTTCGGTGCTCATCTGCATCAAGATAAAACTTTCTGATCAGGTTTTATTCCAAATTTGATCGTGATCGTGAATCTAATTCACCAATCATCCATTGAATTTAAATCTAGATTTAACGTTACACCTTAAAATAATCTATGAAGTATGATTTCTTTAATAATCCAAGAGGGTTAATTCTTGTTTATATCTTTAGTAGATGTCGACTCTGTTGGCTATACTAGTATTATACTAAGACTAGATCCTAAGTGCTATCCGTTCGCTCAGTTGCATCATTGGTGCGTGTCAACTTTTAGACCAAAATTGTTTGTGACCATGGATAATCAAACGGCTCCAAACCATATTTCATTTAGACGTTAACCTGGAACTTATTAATAAAAATATTCAAAAACAAACAAACTAGACCTAGGATTCATTTATTTAATGTTCAGATGTTGTGTGTGTCCAGTGTGCTTGTCAAGTTGTCATAACTTTTCTAGATCTAGACCTATATTAAAGATTTTTTCTTCTCCAAAGTGTGCAGTTCATTTGATAAATCTATTTTTTGTTGGACGTTGTATAAGAGAAGACCCCTAGGGTAGTCGACAATTATGTTTATACGCAGAGGCGGCGGAGCAACTTCCAAAGTGGGGGGGGGGGGGCACCAACAAAAAAACTTTCTTGAAAAAAGGGCACCTTCAGAGGGAAAATATACCATTTTTTTGACATTGGTATATACCCCTATTTTGTGATTACATTATCAGGGATGATTTCAATATTTGTTTCTCTTAATACAGCATTTAAGATATTGCTTAAGTATCATACTTTGCAGTTTTTGGCTTGCAGTGCGAAAAATTACATCTTATAAAGAGGAAAACCCAATCCTGATGGGGTTATATAAGCACAATCTCATAACGGAAGACTGAATAGATCTGTGATAAGTTACATAATTATAACATCTATAACTATGGGCAAGCGTAGCGAGCGAGCTTTGTGGGAAATTGCTTTTAGTCGCTTGAAATTAGGGACACGTTTAATGATGAGAGGAAAAGGGGACACTTATCGAAAGGGTTAAGACACTTATCAGAAAAGAAAAGAAGCATGTGTCAAAGTACAAAGGCTAATTATCAGAGGTGAAAATGGGGCACTTCTTACACCTAAACAAAGAGGCATGCACCAGGGATGATAAGAACATGGGCATTTGTCGACGGAAAAGAGGCACCCATCAGATTTTGATAGGGGGCATTTATAAGCAGTGAAAAGGGGCATTTATGAAAAAGGGATAGGTTCATTATAAGAAAGGAAATAGGGTACATATCATTGTTAAAAGGGTAATGAGAAGGGGAAGTGGCTCTTATTAAAAAGAAAAAGTGGCACTTGTTTCAATAAACGGGGCATTTATCAAAGACGAAAAGTAATACCGGTAATTATGATAAGGGGTAAGGGTGCTTATAAGGAAAAAAGGCATTATATAGGAAGGAAAAGGAGGACGTGTCAAAATAAAAGGGGCATTCATAAGAGATGAAAAGAGTACTGACTAGGAGGGGAAGGGGTGCTTGTCAAAGTAAAACAAGTATCTCTCAGAAGTGAATAGGGTCATTTACAAGAGATGAAAAGGGGCACTTAAGAGAATGAAAAGGAACTATTTTCATAGATGAGAAGGGAAATTGCCTATTTTTAAATGGGGGTACTTATAAGAAAAAGGGGCACTTATTAAAAATGAAAGGGAGCACATGTGAAGATATAAGGTGCGCTTATCCAAGTTAAAAGGGGTAGTTATTAAAAGGGGAAGGGGCACTTTAAAAACTTAATAGGGGCACTTGTCAGAGTAAAAGGGGCACTTTCCTATGTAAAAAGGGGCACTTTTCCTATGCAAAAAGGGGCACTTTTAGGGTACTTGACCAAATGGGAGGGCACTCTGCCCCCCCCCCCCCCCTCTCGGAGCGCCGCCTCTGCTTATATGGTATGTAGTCCACCTCTTCTTGTTATAATAAACTAATTCTATTTAGTACTGCTTCGTGTTCATAGGCCAAAGAAACCACTGTTTGATGCACAAGTTAAATCTTCCATTTAGTTTTACTTTGTACTGTGGTTCATTAAATAGGAATGTTGATTTCCACACCATAATTAAATTAAGGCCAACCATGACATAAAAATATCTATTAATTTGAATTATGCTAGATCTATTTTATTTTGTTAAGGAGAAAGGGATGCCTTGATTGTCGTATTGATTTTCTTCTTCTTTTTGTTCCAAAAGATTGAAACTGAAGAGCTGGAAGGAGGACATTACAACATCTCTTATATTTGCAAGATGAAGCAGAAAGTCCCATGCAGGTACAGTTATCAGGTTATTTAGCACACACATATTAAACGACCACCTATTAATTCACTCAAAAGGAAATGGAACTAAGTTGACATTGCAAGCATATATAGTGGAGGGTATATTTTATTCTAGTTCTGCACCTAGTATACAAATATTGATGTCTTTTCTTTCTATGTTTACAAAGGAAAATTTGTCCTTATTTACAGGAGGTCCTGTGTTTAGAAGAGCCATATCAAATGCACATTGTAAGCACTACATGTAGGGTATACACAGGACCCCTCATTTTTTTTTTGTAAGGGGTACTTTCACTTCTTGAGCAATGAAGATGAAGAAGAACACAAAATAAGATTGATAAAAGTCTGTTTATAGGATGTATTATGGTTGATATGTATCCATCAGTATCAGTTTTTAATTGAAGTACATGTACCTACTTTGTTTTCTCTCATGTAGGATGATGCCTCTCTACAGTGGATGATAAAGGCATTCTGGTTTGCAAACTCAGGAGAGGAACAAAGAACAGATGTTGACGGGATCATATCTAGAGATGCGGGCCTACTACACTTCATACGAGCAAGTGTGCTAATATACATGAAGGTACCCCCAATAAATTTTTGTGGAACAAATGTCATGGAGAAAACTATAGATCTAAAACAGATATTTTTCATTGTCAGTTGACTTGTAAAAGAATAATTGACTTAATATCACAATTGTAATTTAGATTAAAAATTAAATGTCAATATAGATGAAATATAAGTCTACATTACGTATGTTTCAGTAGCATTATTTCCAGTACATTCTCTGGTCAAAGTTGTTTGGTCATTTTATGTCCCATACTTAACCGAGTATTATTCAATTACCGGTATGAGCACGAGTTGTATTACATTGTATTACTTATTTCATACCTTGTCTGATCCGAGCTCCAGCAGGCCTATCGTCTTAATGGGATCATCAGTAATAATTTAAGATGCGGTCAGTATTTAAACTAGTCTTGTACAAAAAATAGTTTAGGTTTGCCCACTAGAACCCCAAGTGAATTTCAGTCCTTCCTTTTTCTGAGCAGGTATCAGGGTGTATGTTATTAGTCATTGTTGATTTTTTTATATCTTATTTCATTTTTCCATTCAACAGACTTGGGTTATATTTTTTTCTGAAAACTAGGCTACAACTTTAGTGATGGATGCAGAAGATATCTACACGAGACTACGTCTTAAAGATGCCACCCTCATATAATGAAAAAGCACAATAGAGATGGGTTTAAACTGGAATATTTACATGATATTTATTTGTTATTTGTATTATATGTTTGTAGAATACTACATTCAATAAAGCTAATGAAGTTTATCATCTTGTCGACTTTCAAATAATTAAAGATAACTAATCCTCAACAAATAAACATTAAAATTCTAACAATGTCAACTACCATCTTATAGGATGAAACTGAGGACTGGGCAGAAAGATTCTCCTTCAAATTTGATTGATAAAGGTCTATCAGTCTATATCAAGGATTGAATTAATCAATGATATTTTGATTATAATTATACATGTTAAAATTCATTTACCTCTATGGACTTCTGTATGGGAAGTTTTGTAGATTATGAAATTATTGCTACTTCAAGTATTGTATGTAAGAAGGTTTGAAAGACAACACTCTAAATGCATTAAATATGGAAACTGCTAATCCTCATTGCTTTTCGTATCCAAACTGGTAGCTTTCATAGAATCATGTTTCGATGCTTCCCAACTAAAGAAAACAGGAAGTGGGGGGGGGGGGGGCTTGCTATCCTCTTATCTTATCCTCTGTACAAATATGATTATATGTTTATATTAGAAGTATTTAGAAAGTGAAATTTTGAATTATAGCATTACTGTTGGTAGAAGTAATGGCAGTGTCGGGAGGGGGGGGGGGGGGTTCCTGGTGAAATTTACGGTATGCCAATGTCAAATTATTAAATAAAAAAGAGAAAACTATTCTTAATAATAAAAATTATACAGTACATGGGCCTCCTAACAAAAACCCTGGTACCACTGTTGTGTTTTGAGGTTGTTTTTTTTGGGGGGGGGGGGGGGGCTGGCAAACCAATTACAAATTTCCAGTGTTAAATTCAAATTTTTTCTTTAACAAAATTATGTCAATATATTGTAATTAAACAATGTTTCACTTTCCTTTTTTTCAAGTTAGATATTTGAATAAAATGATTAACATACTTTCCGGTTTCTCTGGCCTCTACATTAAAAATGTTCTACTTCTAGCAAAGCTCCTGGAAAGGCTGCAAAAAGGGAGAGTGAAGAGAATGAAATTGAAATGTGGACAGTAATGGAGTGAATATGGAATGGTTGATGGTAGTTGATAACGAGTGAATGCAAATGAGTGGCAACAAGTACGACTGAAAGTGAGACAGAAAGGAATTGCAACAGGTTGCTCAGTCAAGAGAACAAACCTTGCAGAAGATAGTTTTCGAAAGACAGAGAAAGAGAGAAAAGGGGAATTATAAAAAAAAGAAAAAGGGGGCATGTGTCAAAGGGGCATTTATGAGAAAGGGTTGGGGTTGGGGCTCCTATTAAACAGGGAAAGGGGCACATATCAAAAGGTAAAAGGGCACTTGTTAGAAAGTTTAAGGGGACGCGTGTCAAAGTAAAAAAAAAAATGAAAGGGCTTTTATCAGATATCACAAGGGGCACTTATGAAAATGGAACAGTGGCACTTATTATGAAGTTAAAGGGGCATTTGTTGAAGAAAAAGGGGCACCTGTCAGATTTGAATAGTGGGTAATTATCGCCAGGGCTGTAAGCAGAGTTTGGGGGGGGGGGGCACATACATGTAATTGATCGACGTCCTGGGGAGGGGTCAAAAAGAGTTCAACCGATCTTGGATTTTTTTCTTCTTTTTTTTCTTCAATGTATGTGAAAGAATGTGTAGTTTTCTCTCAAGTTTGTCTCATCATGCGTGGGATCTGTGGGTGCTGGGGTTCCTGCAGCAACCCTGTACATGGATTTTCTTCAGTGGGTGCATATAACTCGTGGACTTCACATTGTAAACCTTCAAATGATGAATTATCATCGAGTCCCCCACCCCCCCCCCTTCCCTCATTATTTTAGAAAGAAACCAAAGAGAACTTTTAAGAGAAAAAGAGAAAGGAAAGGAAAAAATGGTAGCTAGGCCTAAACAAAAACAAGAGGCAAGATAAAAGAAAACAAGATTGAAGATATGGTATCAATATTATCTTGCTCCTTTCCATTTTTCTTTTTTTCATTTCAATTTTCTTGCAATTTATTTCTTTCTTCCTTGGTATCTATTCCGTATTCTTTATTTCTTCCATTCATTTATTATTTATATATATTTTACTTTTTAACTTTGTTATTCTTCTTTCTAATCCCATTTTTCTTTCTTCCTTTTCTTCCTTATGCAGTTAAGTGAGCATAGATCATAGAAATAATTTAAGTGCAATACACAAGTATTTTATTTTTGATAAATGTTTGTATGTAGGCCTATTCTTGTTATCTATTTTATACAGTTTATAATACTGTATCACATATTCAATACCATAATGCAACCTCTGCTTGTAATATTTAAAAAGCAAACCTAGAACTGATTATTTACCAATTCATGAAAAGAACTAGACTCCCATTAATCTCAGAAAAGTAGGCCTAGGCTATTCACAAATTGCCTATCAAGACTCTTACTTGAAATATATGCTATATATCTTGTCTACCGATACTGACATTTTGGCATTTACTAGTAATTAAACACAGCATTTATGACTGTATTATCTAAATGACCATGACATTGCTTTTCTATGTCATATTATAGGCCTGCCATTAATCCAACGTACTTGTTACACACGATATTCGATGCTGCGCATGCCTCGATCAGACATGAATATTCAAGAGAATCGAGACTTTCCCCGGCCCTGCCTAATGAATATTCATGATAAAACAGGAATCCGGGCTCGCCGTGGTACGAAAAAATAAGACGCGCCCCGCCTCGATATTGATACCTTCTCTCTCCCCTCACTCTCAGACTCTCTCTCTCTCTCTCTCTCTCTCTCTCTCTCCCTAAATATTACCGCTATTTCCCCCTCTCCTGCCCACCCGTTCTCTCTCTCTCTCTCTCTCTCTCTTCCTCTCTCTCTCTCTCTCCCCCTAAATCTTGCCTCTATTTCCCCCTCTCTCCTCCCCTCCCCTGCCCATCCGCTCTCTCTCTCTCTCTCTCTCTCTGTATTATATATCTCTCTCTCTCTCTCTATATATATAGGTCCTTTCTTCTACCCCCTCCCCTATCTCTCCTCTAGCTCTCTCCCTCTCTCTGTATCTATTGGTACCTCTCCCCATCTTGGTATCTTTCCTTCTCTCCTTCTTTCTCCTTTTCTCCCTCTTTCTCTCTTTCTTCCTATAAAGACCCTTTTCACCGAGTAGTCCCCGGTCCCGCGTGTGTGCTGGCTACTACATACAACTCTCGAACAGACCATGGACCTACCATGAATAGACCAACAGAGAGATGGAAACCGATTCGTCACCTAATTACATCATTATCTGATTGACATCGTGAGTTCGTGTCTAGCTTCTTCATTATGACATCATTCAGGGGCGACACGTTTGGATGATTGTCAGTGACACCTGTAAAGTGGGGGTATTTGTTCCGGTCATGACGTCCGTTTATTTTTGGTTGGAGGACAAGTACCTGACTCAAGTCACTGGCCTAGCGCCTCTTCAGGGAATATTGAACTTCGCTTCGCTTCGTTTTTTTTCTTCCCAGAGTGCAATAATCACGCCAGAGTGAATGTACGAAAAGTGTCGCGGATATTGACCATTGCTGTGAAGAACAAAGAGCAATTTAATTGAGAGAACACAAATTACTTCTTTCCGTATATTTTTTTCTAATAAGCACCGGTGTTTTAGAGTTTGTCACAAAGGATACAAAAACTGTTCGCTCTAAAAAAATTGAACTGTACTGAATGCAGAAAGTAAAGATTCCAAGTAATCCAAAAGGAATCTTATTTGTAGGAGAAAGGTCCCTTTTCCCCATTATGCTTATCATGATTTCGTTAATCATGGACCAGAAATTACATTTATTAAGATTGGAACAAAGTTTCTTTTTAAATTATAGCTGGGGAATAAATTCCAGTAAGCGCAAAAAATGATAAGTCGCTCACCCTACTCTCGAAATTTGAATTCAACACATCTTTGATGTTGATCAATTTGAAGCGCTCATTGTTCCGTTCTGTCTTCCAATAAAAAGAACGACATTATTAATCATTGCATTCGCAAAAAGGGGGAGAATCGTAGTTTCTCACCTTGATTTAATATTCGAATAGATGAAACTGTTTTTTGGGGGAAATAGTGCAGCTAATGCCATTTTGAAAGGAACCTGGGCAAATTCTGACTCCTAAGCAAATAGCATACCGCCATCTTCAGTGGAAGTGTTTATCATTATGCTAACGATCTTAGACTTATTTGGCGCTTTTACGTGTACACAATTCTTCTCTTTCCCTGCTTCTCACAAAGCTTCAGTCAAGCGGATACATTTTGGATTTGAAGGCTGGTTTGCTGTAAATCAAGATATGTATGATTAAACGCTTTTAAAAAAAAGACCCTGTTTAGTTCATTCTATAATGATCTTATTTCAAATATTTCCACAAAAAATTGAATTTCTTACTGAAAAAAGGAGTTTTACAAAACTTGCTCGGATTGAAATGGAACTGATGTGTCTACTTTGACTCTGAACTTCATTAAATACTTTAATCTCCAGTCAACAAGTTAAAATTAAAAAGTGCGATGCATATTTTTACATATATTATATTAGCACGATAATTATTTTGATATTCCCCTGGAGCCAAGATGAATGACTCTGCATCTAAATTCATTGTAATTATTTTGCTCTGTTGCTAACGTAAGCTTTTAAAAGGAATGTTCTTAACTATCCGGTGGCTGCTTTTACCTGAAGAGAAATATTGTCTGATTTTTTTTACAGGAGAATTGAATGGCACGTAATGAGATTCTTATACGACAATACCTTAGTAAATAATGATTTTGAATAAAATATGATGTGATTCACCTTTATCATATAGAAAATGATGTGCACCCCCTTTAACACAAAGTAAATGTTTCATTTATTCTTAATGATAAAAATCTATGATGGCAATCCTTAATCATCTAGCATCATCAGTTTACTTTTTATGATATATACTTTGATCTTTTCTTTAAAAATATCACAAAATAACGACTCTCTTTACTTGACCAATACT